TTGATAGCTTTTGTTAGATAAGGACCCTCTTATAATTGTGTCCTACTCTCAAGAGGTGTACCACACCCCTTGTCCCCCCACCCTCTCCCTCCTTCCCTTTCTCAGCTCTCTCCATCCTATACCCCCCACCTTAATTGTCCTCATATCAGAATTGAGTACATAAGATTCTTGTAAAAGTAATTATATTAGTTATATCTTGTATTTTATGAAGTCCAGTTTTTCAGTTACATCATCTTAAAAATATTTTGTTTACTATCAGCTTTATAATGCTTATTTTTATTAGTTATCCAGTGCTTCAGAAATATTGAAATTTTTCTTATTAATAATTCTGTTACTGTGGTTCTGCTATCATTTGACAAAGTAGATTTAATCAGTTTATTAAAACATACACGCATAGCTTACTTAGCTTGAGCAACTTTATAACCCAAGTCAAACCATATAAAAGATCACGTGCTTAGTAATAATCCTATCTATTATTGCCATTTAAATATATGGTAGGATACTCGCTGTTGTGTTACTGACTTTCTGTGATGTACTTTTCAGTTTCTTTAACCATAGGTTTGGATTAGAAATTTTTTATTTCTTGTTTTCTTAAGTATTTTTTGGTGTAAGGGTAAGGAAGATAGGAAGATCTGTCCAATAACTTTATTGGCTATAAATTTTAAGTCTTTATTTTTTACTTTTGTTTTATGTGCTAATTTTTTTCTAGTTTAAATTAGATTGGTGAATTATTTTAAATTAGATTGGTGAATTACTATGTTCTAAGTTACATGATGAAACATTTGAAAAATATATTCCATTCTTTTAATTAACTATAATCAAAATTAATTTCAGTTTTTGCTTCTTGAACCATTGTCTTCTCCTTTGCCTCCATTTCTGACTTTATTACTCTGTAATCTCCACATTTCCCTTTGCCCTTCATTTGGAGTGGGAGTAACACATCTGATATTGAGGAAGAATGTACAGTTTTTCTATAAAGATTTTTAGTAGTAAAAATTGGAAAGATAAGAGAACCAGGGGATAGACTGGGATATATTTCTTTGCTCTATACCTAAAAAATATTAGAATATAGTTTATTACTAATAGGTTTGGGTAGAACTTAAGTATTTGTATTTTAAAAGGTATGAGTGATTGATAATTCTAATCTAATTTTTTGATGTATTTCTAGAATTTGATGCTTTGTCTAGACTTGGTATCCCAGATGCTGTAAGCTACATAAAGAAGAGATATAAGACCACACAACTCTTGTTTTTGAAAGCAGCTTGTGTTGGTCAAGGACTTGTAGATCAAGTGGAAGCTTCAGTGGAAGAAGCCATCAGCTCTGGAACATGGGTTGATATTGCAGTATGTTTTATCATTTTCTTCTCAACTTTTCTTTAAAGCAGTTACAATTGATATGCTACTAATATGAGGCCATTTAAACAATTAGGATACATAAAGGTAGTCTTGGCTTCAAAAATCCCTGCAGTCATTGTCAAAATAAAAATCTTTATTTTATGCATAAAGTCTTTCTGGCTTTGCATGTGGGTAGCCAACATTCAGAATTCTATAAATTTCAAACTTGCAAACAACATAACATATCAATCAGATATAGAAATTATTGAGACTTCTCACTGTCTTATCTAAGTATTTACAGCGGTACTTGCCTCAGGCATCTGGTAGCATTTGTTTATCCCTTATCCTTTAATTGCTGCTAATGTCCTAGCACAAGCTGCTTTGGCACTGATCGTATTCTCACTTCAGTGTTCAATGTTGACCTGCCCTTCATTATGCCAAAAAGCTAAGTAGAGGTAAAGAAAAATAAACAAGAGGGCAATCCATCTTTTTCTAGTCAGGGCTCATACCCTCTTTATAAAGTAGAAAATTCCCTACTTTGGATACGTAAGTTCCCAAAGATTCCAGATTTAAATGTTTTAAAATTTATTTCCAAATTTTATTAAATGCCTTCTTTATGCACCATTGTGCTTGTTGGGGATGTGGTAGGCAGAGAAGTTTCCTGCCCTCAAGAAGGGCACTTCCACTGGGAAAAAATAGTTTAAGAAAATAAGATAAATTTCGGATTAGAAAGAGCTAAGATGAAATACATTTTGGAGTTAAAGTTATCAGGACACGCTGGTGGATTGTTCGAGGGTTTGTAAGATAGAACTGAGTGTGCTTTGTAGGTTTTAGGGTGGTTTTGCAGATTTAAAGGCGCCTATTAGGCATACGAGTGGGGAAAGTATGTGGCAGGATATGTGATTTCAGAGCTCAGAGTGGTAATGAAGTAAGAAACAAATGTGGGAAGTTATCAGCATAAATGTGGTTCTCAAAGCCATGGACTTACTGAGGTCACTTAGGGAGAGCATGTCTGTGTATAACGCTGGTTTATCCATATTGTATTATTTATACTCCATTTTATTTTGTTTGTAATTCTAGCCTCTGCTGCCCAGTTCTTTGTCAGTTGAGGATGCTGCCATATTGCTTCAGCAGGTGATGAGAGCGTTCAGCAAACAGACTTCAGCTGTAGTCTTCAGCGACACTGTTGTAGTCAGTGAAAAATTTATAAATGACTGTACAGAACTGTTCAGTGAACCGATGCATCAGAAAGCTGAAAAGGTATGCCAGATTTCCTTTCATCTCCTGGTTTTAGCGGTATTCTCACGTTAGAATTTTCTGATGTTTTTTGGAAAATGGGGTACGGTCTACCCCAAAATGAATATTTTGTATCATACATCATTTTTCTTTAATGTATCATTCTTTTTTATGATCTCTCCAAGATTTGTTTTTTTTCTCTTATTCCCATCAGAACATATAAATTAGAACTTGAGGAACTTATTTTATAAATTGAAATCACATAAATGAAATCATACACTTCACAGTCAAGTTGCCTGAGGTATTGGTCCAATTGTCAAACATTAGAACGTACACAAACATCCTTTGTCTGAATGTGTAATATGAATAAATACATGATCTGTATGAATGCACATTTATTTTTAGTCAGTACATAATATATTCACTAAATCCAGAGAGCCTCACTAATTTCGCCTGCTTGGGGTATGCAAAGGAGATAACTTACTGAGTAAGGAAATTTTGTCACCCCCCATGATTGATGGTTTTCCCAAGAGCAACTGCTATTGGGAAATGGAGGGAAAGTATTTGGGAATGGAGGTCAAACTAGGTCTTCTTTAATGACTGTTCTGTTCATGTTTCTGGTTAGCAGCACCATCTCCTTAATAAAGCCCACTCTCAAAATAGTTAAAACAAGCCTGCTTTTCTTAAACTATTAATAAATGCATGCACATTCGTTAAATATGTAAATAATTTATGTTTAGCTATACTTCTTTTAAGCTGTTTACTAGCTCTTTGATACAATTGTTTGCTTTTAGCCTAATAATAATAGCTGAATAAGTAATAACAATAATTAGCCTAATAAGTAGCAGAGGAGATTTTAAGAAGTATACAGATTTGATATCAGTACACCTGAGTTTAAACATGTTTACTAATAGTTTCCTTATCTTCAAAGAAAGGATGATGATACTTACTCTGGAAAGGATTAATATAAACAAATAAGGAATATGTGTAAAATGTCCAATACGTGTTAACTACCAGTTATCAAATGACTGTTGTTTTTATTTGTGGTTGTTTGCTAATGTAAGATTTAACATAGCCCTCACTTTTCTTCTTTCCTTGAGCTCTTCCTTCTCACACCAAAAATAAGTTCCAAAAAAGGTGATTCTGCTACTTTAACTATCAAGATTCTAAGCATTTTTCTTTAGCAAATCTAAAAGGAAATACTGTGATAGCATTTTTTACCATGAAAATCTATTTTATCATTAGAGATTATAGGACACTTTCCCATGAAAAAGAACCTAGTAGTTCATTGTTGGTAACATAAACTTTTAAAAAGCAAAGATTGGCTTGGCGCCTGTGGCTCATGCGGCTAAGGCGCCAGCCACATACACCTGAGCTGGCAGGTTCGAATCCAGCCGGGCCCACCAAACAACAATGACAACTGTAACCAAAAAATAGCCAGGCGTTGTGGCAGGCACCTATAGTCCCAGCTACTAGGGATGTGGAGGCAGGAGAATCTCTTGAGCCCAGGAGTTGGAGGTTGCTGTGAGCTGTGATGCCACAGTACTCTACCCAGGGCAACAGCTTAAGGCTCTGTCTCAAAAAAAAAAAAAAAAAAGCAAAGATCATCAAGAATAGATCCTGAGGAAAAAATGTTTATATGACTTAGTATGCAACTTATATATAGTATTTGGGGAGTGAGAGAGGGTGTTCTTTATCTTTCCAAAAACTTTAAGTATCCAGGTGGTAGTGCACGTGCAAATCTCAAAAAGGAAGGAAACATGGGGGTGTCTATTTAGCAATGGTAAAACCATCCAGGATTACGTCTGATGCTAGATGCTCAGTTGATAGTGACCAGGATTTCCATCAGCTAGAGAAAGGCCAAGAACAGCAGGGAAAGAGACTGATTTGGGGCAAGGAAATTCATCCTTAGAGTGGCAGCTCTGAGACAAAGCTCTATACTTCTTAACAATGAAATCAAACCAAGAATAATACATAAACAATTTTTATTTTATGCTTCCTGAAATGCTATATATTTTTCCTAATAAAAAAGCATATTTTATTTCAGGAAATGAAAAATAATCCTGTGCATTTAATCACTGAAGAAGATCTGAAGCAAGTCTCCATGTTAGAAAGCATTGGTACAAGTAAAAAGGACAAAAAAGACGAGCGAAGAAGGAAAGCAACAGGTAACAGATGCACAAGGGGTGTTCAGGGTGTGTGTTTGTCGCAGTGAACTTTGCATTTATTAGGCTGTTTGGAAGGCCTTTTATTTGATTGATTTGTCTTTTATTTTAACTGCTAATGTCAAATCTCTTGCTAATGAGTTAAATTTTAATTATGACAATGGAAATATTGATTAATTATTCTGTTTTCTTTGTGAAAATGAACTTCTCACCCTCATCTCTTATTTTCCCCCAGCCCAGTAGCCTTTGTATTAGACTGTCAAACTTGTCAAGGTCGTGTTTATCTCAGAGCTTTTGCACAAATTGTTCCCTCTCCCTGGAATGTCCTCTCCCCAAGGTCAAGTAACTGTTTCCTTCTTTGCATTCCAACCTCACCTTCAAATGCCACTGCCATAGAGAGACTCCTCAGAAGTAAACACAGCCAGTCTCTATCACCTTATCTTACAAGATTTTGCTGTCTTATTTTATTACTGTAATGTGGGTTTTTTTGGGGTTTTTTTTCTTTTGCAGTTTTGGCCAGGGCTGGCCTTGAACCCACCACTCCCAGTATATGAGGCCAGAGGCCAGCGCCCTACTTCTTGAGCCACAGGTGCCACCCTGTAATGTGTTTTATTGTACAGGAACCTCATCCACTCATCCATCTCATTTATTGTTATACTTCTAATATGTACCTAGAACACTACTTGTGTTACAGTTTAGATTACTGAATGAATTTCCCAATAAATCCAACATTTTTCATTAGCAAATAAATACAACTACATTGAACATATATAAAAGAAGTTAATTTTTGCCATGGGAATTTACTTTTATTTCTTTAAGACAGTTTCTTTTCTCTTCCAAAATCTTATTCTGCAAAACATATCAATAGTATTCTGACACTTCTCTCTATTCGTCTAGGAAAACTTTAGTAAATTACTCCAGTAAGTCATAGTAATATTCATGGCCATGCCTATTTTATCACTTTATTTAAAGATATAATTATTAATTTGACATAATCATCATCAAATTAGTGTCTTATGTTAGCATAACTGGTCCATTTTAGTTCTTATTGACAACTAAAGTTCACCTAGTGCTGTGTTCTCAGGGATGCTGCTCTTTATTGAAGTGGCTTCATCACCGTGTATGGGTCGTGCCCAGTGAGAACGTCCTCCCTGGGAGAAACCTGCTGCCAGACATGTGAAGTAGAGTCACTTTAGACTTGTGCTTTTAAAAATACTATTTGTCCATCATAAAAGAAGAGAAAAAGAAAATTACCAGAAGCTTTAATTCTAGGATATGGTGAAATCTAAGGGAAATCTACTTAGAAGTTATAGAAAGATCTTTAGTTTATATAAATCACTTTGTCTTATTAGGAAAAAATTAACCTTTTATGAAGAAATAGATTTGCAGTATTTTTCAGTGTTTAAAACCCATAGGTATTGCATTTTATAGAGCAAATATTTTAAGTACCTCATTATTTTTCTATTTATAGTTTGTTTCATAATTTTTTTTAGTCTCTATTTAGCCAATAGGTGATTAATAATGACATTTTTCTACTTACCCATTTTAATATTCATCGTCAACATTTGTTGAGCACCTCTTAAATTTCAAGCCTTGTTCTAATACCAGATGTACAAACATTATTGAGACTTACTACTCCTCTCTCAAGATGTCTGTAATCTGACTGGGTGATGGGTGAGTCAGGATGTGTCCTCTAAACATGGATGTAATCTCTCAACCAGGAAGTTAAAACCAAGTACAGTTGAATTTGTGAAGTATTCTGTTAGAGGGTTAAGGATGAGGCTGTGGTAACAGAGATGCACCAATAGGGCCAATATCTTTCAAGGAAGGTAGAAGAGAAAGTGAAGGAATGGGTTCAGCTGTGAAGATTCAGAGTTACAGGAAAGTGACATTAGAGAAAGAGGAGGAGACTGCATTTTGAGCAGATAGCCCAACTAAAGAGTTTGCTTAAATTCAAGACATTTCCTATGTTTTTGTTTATCGATTTTTTATTGATTGGGTTTACGAGGCTTTTGTTTTAATAAGGAAATTCCAGGTTTAAAAAGAGTCTAAAAACTTCTCTATAGGGCTGGATGCAGTGGTTCATGCCTATAATCCTAGCATTCTGGGAGGCTGAGGCGGATGGATTGCCTGAGCTCACAGGTTTGAGACCAGCTTGATCAAGAGTGAGACCCTGTCTCTAAAAATAGCTGGGCATTGTGGCAGATACCTGTAGTCCCAGCTACTCAGAAGGCTGAGGCAAGAGAATCACTAGAGCCTAAGAGTTTGAGATTGCTGTGAGCTGTGATGCAACAGCACTCTACTGAGGATGACAAGTGAGACTCTGTCTCAAAAAAAAAAAAGGAAAAGAAAAGAGAGAGGAGTAACTATTCCATTATGAATTTCATTATATTGTAACAGTAATTCACAGCTACTTTAATATTTTATCGATTTGTAAAATCATAATGTATTTAAGTGAAAAAAGGATATAGAAGTATGAGGAAGTTCAGGACACACTACTCCAAAATATGGCACCTTGAGAATACCACGGAAGCAAGAAGGTCATTCTCACCTACACCATGACACTCTACAGAGGGCAACAAAGTGATACTCTGTCTCCAAAAAAAAAAAAAAAAAAAAAAAAATGCTTTGTGTCACCATTTTCTAAAGGTAGTGATTTAGTGAGATAATATTAACGTCTTTTTCCCACCAGAGGGCAGTGGAAGTGTGAGAGGAGGAGGTGGGAGCAATGCCAGAGAGTACAAAGTCAAAAAAATCAAGAAGAAAGGAAGAAAAGATGATGACAGTGACGACGAGGCCCTGTCGTCTCACTCTGGTATGTGGCTTTATTTTGCTTTTCCTGTGTGTGTGCATGATTTTGTAAAACACTTTCTTAAGATGTATCCCATTAGGCACATATGTTTGTATAGGAAGTCCTTGTTTTGCACAAATTTAAATTACCACGGTTGAGTTAAATGATGTCAGTCTATCAACAACACAGTTTAAATATCGGTTACCGAGATACCTTGTATATTAACTGAATAATTACGTAAAGTACAGGCTTTACGCTCAGTTCTAGGTCTCCAGATGAGCACGTAAGTAACAGATGTGTCTCATGACCTGGAACAGTCATGTCACTTACCTTCTAGTTTGCCGGTGTTGATCACTGTGCATCTGTTATTCTTTGTGCATAAGTAACAACGCAGGTAGTTGTGTTACCTCATTGTCTCCTAGTAGTAAACCCAGGGTTATTTTACAAAAATGGATAGTTGAAGGGGAAATTCACCCACAAAAATAAAAGTGCAGCAAAGACTAATCAAGCATGAATGGAGTTACAGAAGGAACAGCTGACTGGGAACGTTGGTGCTGCCGTTATTGAAGAGCCGTTAGTTACACAGCCAGAGAAGCTCAGTAAGGTGCACAAATGCGGAAAGTAGCTGTGACAAAAAGGATGAAAATGTCTTAGAGGGAGTGAAGTTGGCAAAACACTTCATGTTAAAGCAACCCTTGGAGATACCTAAGATATTGAAAAGGGAAAGAATAAAATGTTGGAAGTTGATCCAGAATTAGAAAGGGCTGTGACAATTTGTAAGGTGTAGAAAAGATCCCGTTCCACACTGCAGAAGACACGATGAGAAGGGGAAAGCAAGCAGTGTGCCAGCTATTCTTGTAGGTCTGTACAGAGAATTAGAACACTCTCACTCTTCATGTTTCCAATATGTTAAATTACAGTGTACTAAATTATAAACATTTATTTTTTCCTTTCCCCATGCAATGTTTTCACACAAGTTTTTAAAAGGCCACAGAACAGTGGTGGTTTGTCCTCTTGATGACTAAGAGCATCTGCAGGACTTGAGCGCTGGTCAGTTTCATGGTGTTCCACTGTCATGCAAAGCAAACATTGGGACGTTGGTGAAAAGTAGACTTCTGCGTATTTAAGTAGGAAACATCAATTTTATGCATGTTTAATTTTTACAATAATAACTATTCAATTATTCATATCTAAAGGGAAGAATTTATTATATACATCTTTCTTTTCCTAAATTTGTTATTACTTGGCAAGGTTAAGTCTGCAAGACATCTTACTTTGTTTTTCTAAATAAAATTATGATTTTTTAATTTTTCTGTTTAAAAAAATTAAGTATTGAAACAATGACATTGCCTTCCTCATCTCCAGCAAAAAGAAAACAACAAAAAAAAAACAAACAAACTTCAAATGATAATTAGATTCACATTTTCCTCTTTCACAGAGTCCCTTCCATGTTGGCTACAGCAGGAAGAGGCAGCTAACAAGTGACACCGCCATAGCTATAATGTGCTACTTGCTGTTTGTAAGCACAGTTGCTTAAGCTCTGTATTCTAAGACAGG